ATCTGGTCATGTCGCGTGGATTCAATGAGTCTGAGGAGTCATGGGAATGCAAGGTAACCCTTTTGCAAGATTGCCCATGCATCGTGGTAGGTTGTGAGCATCGCCGTCAGGGTCAACTTGCGACTTTGTCACTCCCCACAACAATAATGGAGATGTACGAGTCCATGACCGCATTGTGTTGGAAACCCATAGCTACGTTATCCGCCAAAAGCACCGTTTTGCTGAACGTTAAAAGATGCTTCCACGATTGAAACGTCGACCGCTATTATCCTCTGGCCTTTAAACTCGAAAAGCTGTAGCGAAGCTTTCGTTCTGGACGCACGTCAACCACAGTAACAATTCTCCTTAAAGACATCATATTGCTTAACGGCTGTAAAATATGCACCCAACGGACAAATGTGTTGTCCTTTTTAGGTCCAGTTCTTTGGTGGACAGTATCATGGGCACACCCCTAATACGATATACAGGGCTACCATATGACGGATGGGCCAGTCTGGCCTTGTATTGACTTATTGTCGCTACAACGTGGATCCAGGTAATGTGCGCGTAAGGCCTCACTCGTCACGATCTCGTCGGCTGTTTTAGCCTCAGGACCAATGGTCCACAACACCAAAGACTGGCCATCAGTTTGCCTGTACGGTTTTTCACACTCGGCGGAGTAAAAAGTATTTACTATCATGGATTGCGTACCTGGTCATTTATCATTGCTGTCCACGACCCACTTGATCAACAAGATGCTGTTGATAGTCATGTCAAGTATCCATGATGACCGAGTCTCCCGTCTCGTCTCTTGTCACGCGTAGCGCTGTTAGCGCATCACGGCACAACCTCCAGAGATAGATTTGGTGCACAACGAAAATTGTCGTCGCAGTGCTGGGTTTGAACTCTTCCTCTCCTTACAGGTCGGTGTCACATTCGCAATCCACTTTGTTCACTTCGTCTACGCGAATGAAGTAATCGTGAGACTATGACTGATTGTCAGGTGGCGTCATACTCGGTTGTTTCTAATTGCTAACCGTAACGTAAGCTCGTGCGGATGCCCCAAATTAAAAATGAATATAGGGCTTTTCGTGAGGAACGTCAGTCTGGTGGGGGGTGTAACGTTTTTAACACCCCTTCTAGGTTAATAATGTATTTGGGAGGTATTGAATGTACCCATTCAAGCGATTTGAGCAATGTCGTACCATATCAGTTATGGCTCTTGAGCTATCACAGTAAGTACTCAGTACGTCATACTTTGATGACTGACTGACATGTCCTTCTTTATGGTATTTGGCACAATAAAAATTAATCTGTACAATAAGCTTTTGTGAAGGTACTTCAGAAAGGGTTTATTTCAGTAGATAAATAATTGATAAAATTAGGTTTGTCTTTTGAGTAGAAGAGTACAAGTCTTACTAAGTTGTTACTCTTGAGCACTTGGGGTTTTGGTTCCTTCTAAAAATTAGTAATTTTGATATCCACTTGACAGTAAAGTCTCGCCTAGTTCTTTGGCGACGGCATCATCTTGTACTCGTTATTCTTATATTCTTGTAACCAAGTGGCTGCAAGCCAAAGTCTTTCTCTGACTAAAGAGCTGTGTAGCTCTGTTACATTAAGTATATGGGACTAAAGACTCTCTTCGTTAACGCCCGTTTTTAATACGCTAAAAACTTTACGAGTCTGGATGTGTTCGTCCGACAAAAAGGTAATATTAGCTCCGCTACATTTGGTAGCACATGTGGTCAATCTTCACATGCGTCAGTTAAAGAATCATCCTTTGTAAAAATGGAGACATATTTTACCTCGTTAAGGCCTAACGGCTAGCAGTGAAAAAGATAGAGCGTCAGTCGGAAATGAACAAGTGGATATCCTTGCACATAGTCCAGGCGTGATTCGTGTACGTCTTGATGCTTATATTAAATAGGGCCCCTCTAATAGGGCATTTACACGATCGCTTGGCATCGTCTATGCCAACTTGGTATTTTCCATTACAGGAAATGGGGTCTCGGCTTGCTCACTTGTGTTGAGCGTGAAGACGTTTAAGGATGAAGAGGGTGATAATCGCCTTCTTTGGGTTAGAGAAGTGTAAATGGCCATAATAAATCATGCGTCAATCTAGCAACGGCGAGCTGGTCAGATCGTCTCGAAATCAGGTGGTTGAGCCAGAGTGTGGTCTCTCACGTGCAGCTGATCTGTGGATGAGGATTTCCTTACATGGTATATGTTGAGACAGCAACCAACCCAGGTGTTTGCTAAGCCTAATAAGACATACCGGGTGCGTTATATATTCTCAGCTGCCCGTCGAGGCAAGAAAAGTCGATCGGGATGTGTCCAGAAGCTGACAACTTTAATATCTTCCATGCAGCTTGATCCCCTAGTAGATCAGGCTCTAGAAACCGTACTTATGGAAGGTATTTGAGCTCGCGTATACAGAACAATGTTATTCCATGTACGCCCCGTATTGGTCGAGGCGGCTATGGAAATCTCGTTGAACGCTTACTTTAACTAAAAAAAGCCGTTCTGGTACCCATGGGTATATCCTAAATTCGTCGAGCTCATTTAGTTCATCCAATACGCCAAATCCTATGGACCTCAGTATCACCGATACGGACAAAGAAGTGGAGATTTGAGCTCTAGAACAACATTGTAACATTCGACGATGTTTCAAGGGCGGAAGTACAGAGCACTGCGTTATAACTATCCTTTTCTTATAGCATGCCATGTATCTTCCAGCCGAACTCCCGTCGCAAACCAGAAGTATATATGGCACGGCAAAAGGTTGACTCCCAGTAGTCGCGAGGCGCCATGCTGGGGGAGAATTAGGTCCTGTGGATCCTTTAAACTGTATGGTGAGCAGAGCTTAGCCCTAAAGAGTTCTTTACACTCTAACACAGAAAGTGAATACAATAAGACTTGTTGGTCGCGAAAGCGATATTTTAGGGCTTCAAGAAGACTTAATCAATTTTTGATAGACTCCGGGGCATTCGGTAATTAAGTGAGACGATGTTCTCTCGAGGGGGTATCGACGATATGCTGAGGCGCTTTGAGCACAAAATGGTGCTCCGATCAATTTCCGATTGGCGACGGGGACTCCTATTGTAACGGGGCACCCTGAAGCTTGTACTGGTGACAGTACAAGCTACTTATTCTGACGACAGAATAAGGCGGTGCCTCGTAACTTCACGTACACTCGTACGTGCAGAGGAAGACGGTAAGAAGAAGCGAGTACTTGGTTAAAGTAAAAAGTAGAACCGTATTTATAATAGTTAATGTCTGCAATAAATCACTATTTATCTTCATCTAACTATGTCTAAATACAAATGTGTAAATCAGTTATCTGCTCACCACTCATTGCGTGCGTCTGTCGTGGCGCGTCTTCGTTGGTTGATATAATGGCCTATATCAACCAATCAGGAACCACTCGTAAGTGCTACAGAATATTTGTCCTTATGACAATATTCTGAGAATATAACTCTTATAGTTATATTCTATTACCAATTTCTTATAAATTGTTATGTAACGATTCACCCCGTTACATCACCCCCCCCCTTAACCATCAGTCACTTTAGTGACTGATTGACTAAATGGATACTCGTCCCAAATCATTTGGGACAGGGTTTGCACTTGTTGGTCCGCGTCCACTTTCCAACATATCATCGCATGGTAAACAAGCCCGTGCGATGCGCGAGCAAGGCCGCCGAGAGCGCGTCCGCACGTCTCTGTGCGGACGCCGAAGCAGAAACAACAGCAACTGATGTCCCATCGGTTGCTGAAGCGACCCAGCCTGTGTCACTTGGTGACGCAGGCGCTGGTCATGAAGACACTCGTGTCTTCACAGAGTACGAGCTCGGTGTCTCGTACTCTCCTGATACGGATGACGGATCCGTATCGACGGCGATTGAGTCAAAGCCGCCTGCCAAGCGTGGCATGGACGATGCTATGCGTCGTAGCATCTTCGGTTCATCTGATGAGTCAGATGAACCATCGCCAAAGCGAAGGCGCTCGAGGTCGCGAGACTCGGGCGCTAACAGTGGTGTCGGTTCTCCTATTGACACCACTTCACAGCGAGGTGCCAGTACTTCTGTCGGCACATCGCAGGAAGAGCGAGATCGCAATGTCTTGCGTCTCGCTCCAGAGAAGAGGGCATGGATGCCTCCTAAAGCAGTCATGGATCACTTGTCGGCGACGACGAGTGATCGTTATCGAACACGGTTGTTCGATTCGTCAAGGATCCATCACCTTGACCCCAGCGCGAAAAACTATCGCGCTGAACATGAATTCTTCATCGATGCTTTCTTTAGACATCGATGGTACAGTGGGAATCACAAACGTGATGGTCCCTCACTGCTTCAAGCGTGGAACGCCTACATCCATAACCTCGAGGATGTGGGTCGTGACGCTTGGAACGACAAACTTATCAAAGCTCGTGATAAGTTTGAAAAGCGAACCCCGACAGGTGCACGCTATAAGCTGCATCGTCTGTCAAGGGAGAAAGGATTACCCTGCCTCTCTTGGGGAGACTCGTGCCCATGTTGTGTGAACAGCTCTGCACGAGCACCTAAGGAGGCTTACCTCCTTACCAGCCCTTGGTGGCGCGTACGTATCTCTACTGAGATGTACGAAGGGATTGACAACCTGAAATCCCTTTACGATCGTGCCGGGAAGACTTTCTCCGGCGGTCCTTCTGCGGCACAAGATGTGCCGCATCGTACTGCTCGACCAGACCCAGTACGTCAACCATCAGTTGGGAGCGGGGCTACCAAGTATCCCAGGACGGGGGATAGCCGCGCCATCGGACGAGATAACTCGTCCGACGTCCGTTCACGTCGCGGTGGTTCAACAGCTGCTCAACTAGATAGCGCTGGCCACCACGAGAGTCCTCTAATGGAGGTGGAGGAGGAGGAAAGACGCTCTCCACACGATCATGTGGGGAAGCGTGTGTTCCCGAGAGCTTCTTTGATCGCGTAACGCAAGGGTTACGCGACGATCTCGAGCATGAGCGGAATCGGCGTCTCCAAATGGCGGACACTGCCTCGAAGCATCGAGCTGAGTTTGCCTTTGCTCAGCTTGAGAACGAGAGATCTCTGACATCTCTTCGTGACGAACTAAGGGTAGTTCGTGGGGTTGCTGATCGGTCTCGGGATGAGATAGCTGCTCTTCAGACCCTTGTTGATGCCCACCATCGGGAGCACAAGGCTCTCTGCGAGATGCTTGAGCGCAAGGGCGTTCTTCATCGGAAGAAGCAGCGTACTGGTGGTACGGCTTAAGCCGACCAACGTAAAACGTAGGATGCGTTCGCATCTTACGTGGTAACTCGATCGTGTATGCATTGCCTAGGCGGTGCAATACACGAAATGGGCCAATGTACTTGGGTAGTAGTTTACTGCTACCCAAGTTAGTCACTACATGCTTTGGTAGATTAACCGTAGACAGTAGGACTAAGTCACCTTTATTGAATAAAAGAGTGTTTGCCCTTCCATTCTTGTCAGCGTTTTGCTTTTGCTTATCCACCGCTTCGGCGATGGAGTCTTGCACAAAACGGACTACCGTTTCACGAGCCAGTATGAACTCATCTGCTGGCTCGTTAGCTTCAGTGCGCTGTGAGCGCACTGCAGCAACATCAACCTTTTCTTCAGTGAGGGCTTTCGCACTCTCACTGGGATCATCTTCTTCAGTGAGGGCTTCCGCACTCTCACTGGCATCATCTTCTTCGATATCGATGTTATCGATATCGGCATCAAACGCAATGACTTCTTCGTCAGAGCGTGATGAGTGTGAACCAAATCGGTTTTTGCTCGCGCGATTCCTTCCCCCCCTTAAACCAGAGTCACACTCGAGTAAGGTGGGTACACGCGGATGGCGTAAGCCATTCACGTAAAACGGTGTATGTGTCGTGGACGCATGCACCGAGTTGTTAATGGCAAACTCTACCATTGGCAAGAACTCACTCCAACTCTTAAAGGAGTGTACGCATCCTCGAAGTATCTCTTCAAGGACACGATTGGCACGTTCCGTCTGACCATCTGACTCTGGATGATCAGATGTTGACATCTTCAAGCGCGTTCCGAGTGATTTGAACACGGAACGCCAGAAATCAGCAGTGAATCGTGGATCTCTGTCTGATACGAGTTCACGGGGCAACCCATGAAGTCGGAAGATGGTGTCAATAAAGACACAAGCACAGCCACTTGCTGTGATTGACTCTGGTACAGCCACTAGGTGTACCATTTTGCTGAATCTGTCAACAAATACAAGAATACCCGTATTCCCGCGTGCGTCTTTGGGTAACCCGAAGACGAAATCCATTGAGATGGATTCCCAGCACTCAGCCGGAACCGGTAGAGGCTGTAAAGGTGCACGCAGTGAAGGACTTGACTTCACTCGTTGACAGACTTCGCATGCGCGAACATACTTTCGCACAAACTGATACTGGCGGGGCCAGTAAAAGTCTCGACTTACCGTGAGATATGTTTTCTCTCGGCCACGATGTCCTCCTATAGGAGCATCGTGATACTCGAACATGATCCGCAAACGCAGATCAGTATCATCTGGAATGACAACACGTGGTGTGTCACCAGTAACGGCTGTATAATACAGTAAACCGTTGCGAGTAGTGTATCGATCTGATGCAGATCGATACGCAGACGACAATCGTTTCAACGATTCTCGAGATGGTTGGGAGAGATGTGAAAACAACTTCACTATCTCACCATCTTGGGCGTATGCCCGCCTCACATCATCATACAACGTTGTAGATGGGACTGAGGACGTCATAACCGCAACAGTGACTGTCTCACTGTTGGGTTTCGCGACTGTTTCAAAGTCGGGACGACGTGAGAGTGCATCAGCGACGACGTTAAGTCGTCCTGGTTTGTACTCAACCGTAAAGTTGTATCCTGCAAAGAATGACAACCACCGCGCCATTCGTTGCGAAAGGTGCGGGCTGTTCACTGCCGTGCGTAATGACGCATGGTCAGTGTAAACAACGAAGGGTCTATCTCCTAATAGATAGACTCTGAACTTCGCGAGTGCGTACTTCATGGCAAGGAGTTCCTTGTCATGCACTGGATAGTTCCGCTCAGCTGGTTGCAGCTGACGCGACTGATAGCAGACGACGCGTTCAACGCCTTCAAGATCGTACTGCATTAATGCACAGCCGATTGCGAAATCGCTGGCATCACAGACCACATGAAATGGCCTGTCCTGATCGGCAATTGCTAGGACTGGGGATTGTATCAAGCTCTGCTTGATACCCTCAAAGGAGCGTTGACATTCAGCGTTCCATAACCACCTCTCGTTCTTTTTCAACAAACGAGAGAGGTGCACAGTCATCTCGGCGTAATTGCGTGAATATTTGTGCAAATACGCCGCTAGCCCAAGGAATTTTCGAATACCTTTGACATCAACCGGCACAGGCCAGTCGGTGATCGCCTTGATCTTCTCGGGATCAGGACGTACACCGTTCTTACCAACGATGCACCCAAGAAGTGGTATTTCGCTTGCTGCAAATATACACTTCTTGAGGTTAGCATACAATTGATGCTTTCGCATGATTGTAAGAACTTGTCGGACGTGGTGTCTGTGAACCTCAACGTCCGACTTTCCATCCATAGCTCGACTATGGATGAATACGTCATCGAAATAACTCGGCGCGAACTCTCGTACTGGTCTCAACAGATGTGATACACATCTGTTGAACGTGGCAGGGGCATTACTAAGCCCTTGTGGCATTACTAGCCATTCCCAGAGCATGCCGCTAGGCGTGCTAACTGCGGTATAGGGTATATCCCGTTCCCGCATAAGGATTTGATAGAAGCCATCCATCAAATCCATGGACGAAAAGATGGTACTCTTTGACATACCATCAATGATTACGTCCTTCCTCGGTATCGGCGTCTGAGCCGGTACCGTTGCAGCGTTCAACTTATTGAACGCGTGCACTATCCGTCACCCTCCTGTTGCTTTTCGCACACAGAAGGTCGGAGAGCTATGTGGGGAAGTTGATTCCCTCACATGGCCCGCAGCTAAACGATCGGCAAAGAACTTGTCGATCGCAAGTACTTGTTCACGAGGCAGTGGCCACTGCTTCATGACACAGTACTTCGAGCCTGGTTTAAGCTCGACCTCGTGTCGAATACCTTTCTCCTTCGGTAATTCGCACGGAACAGTTTCAGGGAATACATCCTTGAATTCAACCAAATCCTCATAGAGAGGATCTTTCTTGAGCGATTCCCACGACTGGGAGTCATATCGCTCAATTCGTGTCTTTTCATCGAGTACACTCTCGTCCATAGATGAACTACTGAGAACTCTCTCGTTCTCAGTAAACATTGTTGCTGACCTTATGTCGGTTACACACTCGTCGTCAGCGACGAGTACGCAGATCTGCTTGACTTTGCCACTACGCAGATCACGCAAGAACCTTTCATGTTCGAGCGTTGGCAACTGAGTGATCTCCGAAGTTAACTTCGGAGGCGCAATCAGATCAAGTGTATAAGCGCCTACACTTGATCCGTTATTGACTATGACATTCAATGTCTCTGTCATTTCCTGGGGACTTATTCCCTCAGGCTTCGAAGGACTTATTCCTTCGTCTTCCCGGGGACTTATTCCCTCGGGTTTCGGGGAACTTATTTCCGCCGTATTTGTTTTATCGGGACTTATTCCCTTAACCTCCTCTAGCTGTGGCTGCGCAACCACAGCGAGATCCTCTACGAAAGACTCTCCAGTCGATCTAGGATTATCGTTTCGCTTAATCTGAGCGATCGATTGTTTCTCTTCTAGATGTTCCCCGCTAGAGATACATCTTTGTCCCGGTCCACTCGACTTATTCGAGTGGTGGACCTTTAACGCAGCCTGTGTTTCCTCACAGCCGCCGGAACTTGGCTCCGAAGTGTAACTGTTTGTTAAACTAAGGTTTTGTGCAGTGCACTAACGACCGTACCACAAGTGAGGCCATCGCACTCACTCGTAGTACATCCACACGCTTGTGGACGCCCCAAAATGTTCATCAGATGTCCATCTGATGAACAAGCGGCAGGCATCGTTACTGTTCGATGTTGCCAGTTTACCCGTGGTTCGTACCTTCTGAGCCACGGTATTCCAAGGATGACATCAAATTTGTCATCCAAATCCAATACGATAAAGTCATCGTCGTATTGGGTATCTTCTAGCGTATAGTGGATCTTCACTATACGCTTCATGACGGTTACGGATGCGCCTGTCGCAAGACGTACCGTCATCCTCGTAGGAGGTGTGTCACATTCACTGTAATTGAAGTGACCATCTTCTAGCGATTGGCGTCGCACAACATTGTTGGACGCCCCACAATCGAATAGAGCTCGAAGGGACAACTTATTTGTCACTTCGAGTTTCAAGGTAATGAGTGAGTCCTCATTACCTCGAGCAGCAACGCACAACGTTTGTGCGTTGGGAGCAACCTTCATCAGGAGGCCTACAGATTCTCTTGACGTTGCTGGATCAGTAGGGTGCTCCGCACCTACTGATCCTGACCGTTTTTTGACGGTCCATCCCGTTGTTGCGTCTTTGCACCAACAGCGGACCCTCGTCCCTGCCCCTTTCTCATGGGTGGACGGTCACTACGCCCAGTGTTGCGAGACACTGGACGAGGGGCACTACACTCGTAAGCGTAGTGTCCTGTCTTTTGACATCTGTTGCATCTCTGCAACTTCTTGTAGCCTGTAGAGCGAGCCTTCTCGCTCTCCACATAGCAGAGTTCCATCGGCTCTGGACCTCCGTTGTCATATCGTCTTGGTTGACGATATGATGTCGAGCTGGCGCGAGCCTGTCTCAGACTGAAGTCTTCCTGCTCCGCAATGGAAATGGCTTGTTCTAGTGAATCTAGTTCAAGCCGGAACAGGTGAGTCTTGACGGGACCATCCGCAAGACCCTGCATGAACACCGAAACCAACGTGTGTTCATCCACCGGATTGGAACTTATACAACTCGTGAGATGTCGTATATGTTGAGCGTAAGCGTGCACATCACGCTTACCCTGCTTGAGCTTCAAGAGTTCGGTTCGAGCCCTGAACTCAGCTCTAGGCGGTTCAAACGTTTGTCTGAGCCGCGCCTTGAAGACTTCTAACGACCCAAACGCATATGGGTCGTGCAACTTGAGCCCCAGTGCCCAAGTCTTGGCACGTCCTGCCAGATTTGACTGGGCAAATGCAACTTGCATTTCCCCATCGTCGATGCGACGCGCCCTTATGGCGTCATCCAATTCGACGAACCATCTCAAGAGGGAGTCTTCTTCGACCCCCCTATACTTTGAGATGTCAATCTTCAAAGTCTCGGGTCGACGCGAATGCATCGACCCACCAGCAGCAGCCTGCTGCTGTCTCAACAGTTCAAACTGTTGAGCACCCTGCTCTCTCAACAACTCTGCTTGTTGAGAACCTTGTTGGTGAAGCAAGGCTACTTTCTCGCGTTCAGCGTCAAGTTCATTTTGAATGAACGTGGCGATAGTAGCATGTTGGGCATCTCTATCGAGAGCCTCTAGCATGACGCTAACAGCATGGATGCCCATGGTCGAACCCATGCGTTCAACCGCATCCCATTCGACATTGCTCAAATGGGAGTAGCCGTCACGCGTAGCGTGAAAGCTTTGGTCATCTTCATCATCCAACATATTCATGTTGGATGTGATCGTGGTCCTTGGACGGACAACAAAGTGCTACCAGGTGTAACGGGGCACCCTGAAGCTTGTACTGATGACAGTACAAGCTACTTATTCTGATGACAGAATAAGGCGGTGCCTCGTGACTTCACGTACACTCGTACGTGCAGAGGAAGACGGTAAGAAGAAGCGAGTACTTGGTCAAAGTAAAAAGTAGAACCGTATTTATAATAGTTAATGTCTGCAATAAATCACTATTTATCTTCATCTAACTATGTCTAAATACAAATGTGTAAATCAGTTATCTGCTCACCACTCATTGCGTGCGTCTGTCGTGGCGCGTCTTCGTTGGTTGATATAATGGCCTATATCAACCAATCAGGAACCACTCGTAAGTGCTACAGAATATTTGTCCTTATGACAATATTCTGAGAATATAACTCTTATAGTTATATTATATTACCAATTTCTTATAAATTGTTATGTAACGATTCACCCCGTTACACCTATCAATGTCAATAGAGATCCTGTAAAGTTACAAAATTTAGCAGCTTCTCACGTTATTTTTACCTTGCTTTTGGACCCGGGGTATGACCGCACTCTTGGGATGGCCTGGCTTGAGCGCCAACACCCGTGGATCGATTGGAAATTGAAAATAATAGGCGCATCACGCAGTGCACCTAGCAGAGACTGAAGAGTTGTAAACCCAGCTGTGCTAGGAATCAGAAGCACTATTGGTGCGAGCTGCGAGCCAAGCCTGTTAGTGTGCTGGACATGTTAATGTCCGAACAAGTTCCTATTGAAGATGTCAAAGACACGAGTAACAAGCAAAGTTCATTACTCATAAGTGAAAACCGACAAGAACTCCGTTGAGTGATATTCGCTGTGATAACATTTCACTAGAAATCTGTAAGAGATTTGACCGATCGTCAAGTCATCGAGGATTGAACCGATCAGATAGTTGCGAAGTGGAACGTATGTATTCACCTAGTGACTTTGGCTGTGATAGTGACGCACTGAATGTCAAATTTGAGATTTTTGGCGAAATACCTTGGCATACAGAGCTCGAGTCAACGATTGCGCGTAAAGTAGCACGTAATCCACGTGATGGCGAGTTGAGTCAAATGACTCGTTATCGGATGTCGGTAATGACATCAGCACTAGTGTAGAGCGAGTGAAGACTGAAGGTGATACCAATCTTGAAAACACGGACATTTTGACCTCTTTGAGTTGATTCGACTTACCCTCGGTAGCTACTGCGAGCCACGCAGTGTGCGTTTAAACGGAATTATTTTTCTTTTGACGCTTTTGATGTGATCAGATTTGAATAAATATTTGGCAATAGCCATTCGTGAGTCACCTCACCCGTCACGCTGCACGCTTGTGCGTCATTAAGTTTTATGCTCTGGTTGCACTATTTGACTTTAAGTAGTTACTGCTGCACTAGAGGTGATCGATCACATAAATTGTTTACCGACCTGTGGGACGTAGACGAAGGATTGTATAATTTGCTCACTTACATGGTCGCACCTTATTCCCTTTTTTACAAATGTACAGCTGAGTTTCGATGATAAATAATGTGGCACACATCTAGTAAATGGACTAGGGTGACTGAATGGGTCGCCCCGATCCGGCTGGTCCGGGGAACGGGTTGGGGTCTGACCCGGACCAGTGGCCCCCACGTCAAACCCTTAATTAATCATAGACCTACAGCTGCCTTATTCGTGTACGATATGTGTCCGCTGATCGTCGATGGCGGACGACCCACGTCCGCTCAGCAAGAAGCTGCTTAGGAAGCTGGAGAAAACACAATGGCTGGCTGGCTGCGCGCAAAGCTTCTAAATTGGCAAGTGGCAACCCCAAGTTCTCACGGAAGCGTTGGAAATAGCGTCAAAGCCATCGGAGCGCACATGTCGACCTCTTTCCCTCCGTCCACTCGTACCCGTGCTCGTCCACCACATGCACCACATGTACCATTCGATGGCAGGCAGTGAGTGTGTCTGTCCACCATGTTGATCCTTTTACTTATTGCTTCGCCTTGTTTGCTTTAAGGCCGGTCGGTGGACAAGTAAGCCCTTGGGCGAAGTGGTAGCTTGCGAGTTTCCGACCGACGTTCTCGCCCGAGTATTGCGCTCCGGTGGTGCAATTAGGACTCGTGCGAGTGAATGGAAGCGAGACAAGTTACGACTTAGTGATCCAAAGTGGAGACTTTTTCGACCTTTGAAGCACCGACATGAACCAAATGTTTATTGTCCAGTGAAGAATGTTCAGAAGCTGGCGGAAGTGACGTCTCTATTGTCGACTTCGGTTTATGACGAAACGAGCGAGCTGATGGTCGTAAACAAAATCGTCCAAGATTGCGGTGCATCCAACTGGAAGCTGTCACTCTTACTCATTCGCGCAAATCCTGCAGCTTGTACAACGTGGAGCTGTACACAGTCAAGGGGTCAATCGGCTGACGCTATTGCCGGTCGATGGGCTGGATCGAGTGACATCGGGACTGTTGCTACTTGCCAAGTTGGCGGAGAAGGCACGTAGTCGACCGGGCTGACGACTAGTTCGTGGGTCAAAGGTGCGGAAATTTGCGTTGAGCAGAAGTTTTACGTCGCACGAGTGAATACGGGCGATTTCCCGGAGGATGAAGCAACTTCGACATGGGCCCATGTTGAAGGCTTGAGCTCGAGACTGGTAAGCTGTGGATGACTGCCACTGGCGTGTGATGGCTCCATTTAGATCGAAGTCGCCACGCCAAGGACATGTGCGATGTGTGTCGGAGCTCCGTCTGCAAACTCTTGTGTTACGCTCAAGCATCTTGAAACAAAAAAATAGATGGGATGGTCATAGCCTTGTCCAGTGTCGACTTGTGCCAGGACGGACGAACCAACCTCGCGTCCATTCACAGCATTTGGAC